GAAATGGCACTTGCCCGGGTGGGAGCCGGGACTGTATCCAATTTTTCCATCGAAGGGGCGCCAGTGGTTCTTGGACGGGCATCGAAAGCACCCGGTGTTGAGGGTGAAGCGCACGCAGTTCACGATTACGCCAGCGTTAGCAATCACAGCGCACGCCGCGCAAGGGCGGACCTTGGGCGCAGTGATAGCGGATCTGGAAGGAGGGCGCAGCGCAAGTTGGATGTCCAGTTGCGTGGCGATTACCCGGGTGAGGAGACGAGAAAACTTACTCATCTTCAGGCCTTTCGACAGGAAGCCGTGCAGCGAGGGGGAGATGCCCGGCGCGCAGAAGCTGTTGCAGGTGCTACGCGGCGACACTGTGGATTGGGAGGAGTGGGAGGCGAAGCTGATGCCGCGCGATCAGTGCGGGCGTTGCCGACGTCGGCTGCTAATGGAGGCGTTCGCGAAGTACGAGTTCCAGCGGAAGGAGAGACCGGCCTTCTGTAAAGAGTGTACGGAAGAGATGAAGAGCCTGGACGAGAAATGATGCAAAACGTGTGACACGTGGGCAACGAAGACGCGCTGCGACGAAAGCGCACGGAGGGGCGACGTTCAGGGCGCGGCGAGGGTTCGCGATGGGGGCGACGCCAAAAAAGTTCGGACCATGTGCTGTGTCAAATGCAGCGATGTGAAGGGGCAGCAGAAGTCGCGCCGTGCCAACGCGAAGTGGGCTGAGAGTGTGGGTAAAGTGTGCTGTTCGAATGACGGCTGTCCGTCGCTATTGCCAGAGGAGGCGGACATGTTGGTAGCTCAGAAGAAGCACAAAGCAGCAGGGGAGAGGCTGTGTCAGAGGTGCGCGGAAGAACGGGAGAGGACGACGCGCGAGTCGAATAACAGGAAACGCACGGTGCGTTGTTCGAACGAGAAATGTCTGTCGCTTTTCCAAGAGGAGGCGGATATGTCCGATGCACAGAAGAAACACAAAGCAGCGGGGGAGAGGCTGTGTCAGAGGTGCGCGGAAGAACGTCAGAGGACGACGCTCGAGTCGAATAATAGGAAACGGAAAGCCGAGGCGGACGCGAAGCCGCTGACGTGCGCGGCGTGCGGAGGAGCGTTCTCAGACACGACGCATTTGAAGCAGACGCAAAAGGAACATCATCGAAAGGCGACACAACTCAAAGTCGCGTGCGGAGACTGCACAAAACTCGGGTTCACCGCGCGCAGTTGCCAGGCGTATCAGTGCAGCGGCGCGTGCAAGAGAAGACTACCGAAGTCGGCGTTCCCCGATCCGCACAATGTCCCGCGCGACGCAAAGAAGGGCACCCTGAAGTGCAAGACATGCAAATGATGCCCAATCAGGCGCGCGTGCTGGGGAGGAAAAGGAGGACGGGGAGAGAAGGATGGGGGGCAAGGCGGAAAATGGGGGGGAGAAGCATCGAAGAGGCTGAGGTGAAGCGGGGCAGGAAGAGGAGGAGGGGGACGACGAGGAGGTGGGGGAGGAGGAAGAGGAGGGGAGGGGGCACTGAGATGAGGCTCTCGGTTATGAGAAGTGGGGTAGAGGCTTGTGGTATGTGTATGGGGCCTAAAGATTCCTAAGAATTCCGAAGGATTCCTAGGAATTCCTGAGGACCCCTAAGAATTCCGAAGGATTCCGAAGAATTTCTAAGGATTCCCAGGAATTCCTCAGGATTCCTAGGGATTTCTCGATTCGTTGGTGCACGCATGCTGTTTGCCGGCAGGGATTCGTTCGTTGGTGCCAGAGAGGAGGTCCACAGATGTTCACACAATTGGAATTCAATGGCGTTGTTGTGGTGTTGTGGGGGGGGGGGGGTCGTTGTCTGTGGTTGTTGCTGGGGGGGGGGGGGTCCCCACGGGTCGGCGCTGGCCGCCCTTGTTTGGTTGTTGTTGTGTTGTGTTGTTGAACACTATTACTTCTAAAGAATTATTATTGTTGGACCCCCTGGTGCACGCCCCCCGCCCAAAACCTAGGCCGCAGCTACATTTTCATCATTTTTTGCGAAAGCTTCAGAAAAGTGGATTACCCCCGGATCCGGTTTTTTGTTGACGCTCGTTTTCCCTTGCAAAAAACAATAGAAAATGAAAATTCTTGTTCTTAGTTGATCAAATTTCAAGAATCCCTTGCAAAAAATAAGGTAAAGTGGACATTCGCGCTCGCAAGACGAAATCCTTCCAAAACCTTAGGTTTCGTAACGATTTTAACATAAAAACATCAAAAACCCAATGGTTTTTTAAGAAAAAATTGTCAAAATGTCCTTCCGCGCGCTCTTGCGGATTCATAGGAAACACACCACTTTTTAAACATTTCTGTCAAAAGGGTCTTTGCGTGCTACTTCTTCAGGTGCTTTGAACTTCTCCAACAACGGTTGCGCGCCTGCGAGGGCCACCATCCCTTGCAAAAAATGAGACGAAGTGCACATGCGCGCGGCCGCCGCGCGCGCATGTCGAAATCCTGCCAAACACAATGGGTTTTCAATAATTTCAAGATGCGATGTTCAGAAAACATATGAAAACGCACTACTTTCTCATCCGAAAAATCTCGAAATCCATTCGCGGTCTCTTGATGAATCTTTAAAACCCAAGATGGCCCCAACAGGCGCGCAAGATGGCCCCAAGAGGCGTCCATGAGGCCCAAAGAGGCGCCCAAGATGGTCCCAAGAGGCTTCAAGAGGACTCCAAGAGGCCCCCAAGAGGTTCCAGAGAGGCTCCAAGGTGGCTCCAAGAGACCCCCAAGATGGCCCCAGGAGGCGTTCTAGAGGCCCCAAGAGTCCGCCGTGAGGGTCCAATAAGCCCCCAAGAGGCCCCAAGATGGTTCCAAGGAGCCCCCCAAAGGCTCTCAAGTGGACCCCAAACCGCGCCAGGAGGCTTCCCCCCTTCCCCAAGAGGACCCCAAGCGGCCCCAGGAAGGCCCCCGACTGCTGACGCACATATCCGTAGCCATCTCGGATCAAGGTATCGCCTGTGTTCTTGGATCATGGCTTTGACGGCGAAAGACCTTCACGAGCAGTATGGCCCTGAGCTGTCGCGGCCTCCCTTGGCCGACTGCGAGAGTGCGTATTATTTGCATCAGGCGCTCCGGGCAAAGGGTATCAATGCTAGTCACCAGGCGTGCAAGACTTGGTGGGCCAAGTATCGGGTTGTGACTGGCACGGTCAGTATTTCTAGCGCCAAGGAGCTGGAGGAGCAGCACGGCTCTGCCATCCGCCACCTGGGCATTGAGTATAATACCGCTTTCAAATTATGCCGGGCGCTCCGACAGTTGTATACATGTGTTTCTCTCCCTCCGTCTGGCTGTGCACGCGCGCGTTGGGCACTGAGAGTTAGGATCATAGCGCCATGAGTCTATGAGCAATGCATGCGTCATCCTTGGGACTGTATAACATCAGTGTAACACATGTACTTCTGTAATCGCATCCCCACGAATTTGCCCCAAAAATGTGACCAACTATCTTGGCACTGCGTACCATCTCACGTGTACCGTGTACCACATCATATGTAACAGATGTGATCAACCTCTGTGGGTGTGTACCCCACGCCAGTGTAGTAGCCAGGGTCGTCCGCACGCCACGAAGTGAAGTGTCCCAACGTCATAGGGCGGGAAGCTGGGTGTGGGTGGTCTCGAAGAGTCGTGTGGATATTTGGTAGAGCTTGAACGGCCCCCCCACGAAGTGGGGGTATTGGCTGGGTCGCAAGAAAACCCTGGCACTGGGGAGAACACTGAGCGTTCGGGTAAAATGATTGTTGTTGTTGTTGTTGTTGTTGTTGTTGTTGTTGTTGTTGAACATTAATACTTCTAAAGAATAATTATTGTTGGGGCCCCTGGTGCATGGCCCCCCCGCCGCGCCTAGGCCGCAGCCTCATTTTCATCATTTTCGTGAGGAAGTCTCAGGCAAAACGATGTCATCCAGATCCGGTTGTGTTGTTACGATCGGTTTTCCCTTGCAAAAGATAAGGCAAAATGGACATTTCTTGTTCTAACACAACCAAACTTCAAGAATCCCTTGCAAAAAATAAGGTAAAGTGGACATTCGCGCGCGCAAGACGAAATCCTTCCAAAACCTTAGTGTTCGTAGCGATTTTCATATAAAAACATCAAAAAACCAATGGTTTTTCCAAACGAAAATGTCAAAATTTCATCCCGCGCGCTCTTGCGGATTTGTAGGAAACCCAACACTTTTTAAACATTTCTGTCAAACGGGCTTTTGCGAGCAACTTTTTCGAACTTCTGCAACAACGGTTGCGCACCTGCCAGGGCCATCATCCCTGTCAAATAATACCATGCGGGACACATTCGTTTTTTCTTCGCGCGCGCACGCCGTCGTCGTCGGCCGCGGGGCCCTGAATAGTAGCCACGGTCGTCCGCATGCCACGAAGTGAAGTGTCCGAACGTCATAGGGCGGGAAGCTGGGTGTGGGTGGTGGCGAAGAGTCGTTTGGAAATTTGGTAGAGCTTGAACCGGCCCCCCCACAAAGTGGGGGTATTGCCCGCCTCCTATGAAAACCCTGGCACTGGTGAGAACGGAGTGTCCCCACGTGCTAGTAATTGTTATTGTTGTTGTTGTTGTTGTTGTTGTTGTTGTTGTTGTGGTTGTTGCTATAGTCTTCGTCGTGGTCGTCGTCGTCGTCGTCGTCGTGGTGGTCGCCGTGGTTGTCGTCATCTTTGTCATCGTGTTCATCGTCGTGGTCGTGGTCGTCGTTGTCGTCGTCGTCGTCGTCGTGATCGTGATCGTCGTCGTCGTGGTCGTTGTCGTTGTCGTGTTCGTCGTCGTCGTCGTATTCGTTGTCGTCGTCGTCGTCGTCGTCATCGTTGTCGTGGTTGTCGTTGCGGTCGTCGTTGATGTCGTCGTTTTGGTCGTCGTCGTCGTCGTCGTCGTCGTCGTCATCGTCGTCGTCGTCGTCGAAGTCGTCGTGGTCGTTGTCGTCGCCGTCGTCGTCGTCGTCGACGTCGTCGTCTTCGTCGTCGTGGTGGCCGTCGTCGTCGTCGTGGCCGTCGTCGATGCCCAGGGCGCCGCCGGCGGTGGACGTCCGCCTGCCTGGCCTTGGCGCCGTGTCGTCGGGGCCGGGCCTGCGACAGCCGCAGCCGCAGGCGCTGGTGGGCCCGGGCGGCCAGCCTCCAGGAGGAGGAGGAGGAGGAGGAGGACGAGGACGAGGAAGAGGAGGAGGAGGAGGAGGAGGAGGAGGAGGAGGAGGAGGAGGAGGAGGAGGAGGAGCGGAGGAGCAAGGAGGGAGGAGCAAAGGAGGGAGGAGGTGAAGGAGGAAGAGGAAGGAAGAGGAGAAAGTAGGAGAGAAGATGGAGGAGGTGAGGGGAGGAGGAGGAGGAGGAGGAGGAGGAGAGGAGGAGGGGAGGAGGAGGAGGAGAACGAGGACGAGGACGAGGACGAGGAGGACGAGGAGGACGGGAGGACTGAGGAGGGGACGAGGATGGCCGGATGATGATGATGATATGATGATGGATGATGATGATGATGATGAGGAGGGAGGATGAAGGAGGAGGAGGAGGAGGAGGAGGAGGGACGAGGAGGAGGAGGGGAGAGAGGGGGGATGGGGCTGACCGAGGAGGAGGGGGAGGAAGAGGAGGATATCGGCACACCCAGCCAACAAGGACCGTTCGCCAGATTGACCTTTGGTGCAAAGCTTTCGGTGGGCGCGGGGGGCCAATCCCACGTACTCAGGCCGCGGCTGTCGCACCGCGTGCAGCGATCGGCGAGACCGCGCACCAAAGGTTCTCCTTGCGTGGGGGCACCATTTGCGTGCAACCAGAAGGAAGGGGTAGGGGTAGACGGAATGTGGATAACGGAGGAGGTGAAGGGGAGGGAGGGAGGGAGGAGGAGGAGGAAGAGGAGGGAGAAGATGATCCCACATGTCTGACATTTTGAACACGTCAAGGCGGAGGTGCTTCGCCATGTTCGGCCGCCAGGGTCCGTTTTCCGGCTTTCCGCTCCCGCTTCCGACCCAAGAAGACACCATTCCGTCCTCGGTGTTCCCGCCAACCACTGCCACACCTATCAGAACACAGCAAGCATCATTCGAATCAACAGGACCAGCCCCCCTACCCATACGAGCCCCTGAAATGGGAAACGCCACACGAGCGACGGAAGAAAACCGGGTCGACTGCGCCGGCGTTGGCGCGTGATTTCCCCGCGCAAGGCCGCGCGGGAACGCCCTTGTTTCCAGTGTGGCGTGCAACGCTGGCGGCCCGCGCGAACAACCGCATAAGATCGCTGTGTCATCGTGCATACAGTGGAGACCCATGCCAAGAAACACCCTGCTTGCCTCCAGAGTGCCCTGGGTTTCTTGGGTTTCCATGGTTCTGCTGTGGACGGCGTGACGCTCCCACACCAAAAGTCGATGGACGCCCTGGGGTCTCAGGGTTGGGCTTCTTGCGGAAGGTTCCTTGTGGACTGGCCTCCACTACATGTCACCGTGCGGAAGACCCGCTTCTGTTCGTCGCTCGCATGACCGGGCAGAGGCGCTGCAGCCGCAGCCCCAGCCGGCGGCCCTGCGGCAGCCCAGCGGGCCCCTTCCCGGCGCGCCTCTGCAGCCGGGCCCCCCCCTGGGCGTCAGCGTCTCGCTGGGCACGGCGCCCGCGGCGGCCCAGCCGACGGCACCTCGCACTGCGCTGCGGCTGCCCGCTACTTAGGTCGGGCACGTCCCTAGGTTTTTTTTTTCTTATTTGTTTCTTTTTTTTTTTCTTTTTTAGTTATATGCTTTTTTTTTTTTTTTTTTGTGTTCAATTTTTTCTTTTTGTCTTTTCGTTATTTTTTTTTGGAGTTTTTCTTTTAATTGTTTTCTTATTTTTTTTTTCCTTTTTTTTTTTTTTTTTATTTTTTCTTTAATTTTTTTTTTTACTTTTTCTTTTTTAATCTGTTTTTTTTAATTTTTTATTTTTCTTTTTTTTTTATTTCTTTTTTTTTTCTTTATTTTTTTATTTGTTTCTTTTTTTTTTTTTTCTTATTTTTTTTTAATCTACAGGAGGAGGATTGTAAAATAGCCACAACATGGTATGGTGGCGATTTTTCGGCTATTAATGGTTATTTTGGTGTATTCTTTGGCTATCTTGATTCTCTTGCAGGGTCCGCCTGCTGGAGGACATGCTCGACCTGACGCTACCTGCTGCGCTGCGGCTGCGACTGCCACTGCCGCCGCCTCCGCCGCTGCCGCCACTGCCGCCGCCGCCGCCGGCGCTGCCCCAGACCTCCAACGCCTGGAGAGAGAGTCGGTGTCCAGGCGGAGGTGCTTCGCTATGCTTCGCCACCGGCGCCAGCTTTACCTTGGTTCTGGGCTGCCGGCGCGCGGGAGAGGGCAGGCCGACTCTGTCCTGGTGTTCCGGCCCCGGAGGGTTCTCTCTCTCAGCTGCGCCTCCTCGAGGCCTTCTTGCTCAGGAGCGAAAGAAGGACGTACACGTACATGAATCCACGCTGGTTTCGAGAGTTCGCATTGCGCGAATGTTCGTATTACGCGGCCGGTCTCGCGGGTCAAGGGGCCGTGTTCATGTACATAGCTGGGCGCGTACATCCTTTGTGGGCTCCCTATCTTTCGGGGAGCCCAGGCATCACGCGCGGGGGCGCGAAGAGAACACCGCGCTGCTCGCCTCGTGGCCTGGGTCGGAGAATGCTGACCGCGCTTCCGCGCCTTGTGGCTTGGGTTGGAGAATGCTGGAGCTGGAGGTGGATAGACCTCCTGCCCTGACACGCCGACTCAGGAATGGGCCGTCTTCGGTCCGTGGGAGGGCGCCGCGGCCGTCCTTTCTGCGGGCCCAGGTCCGTCGGTTTCGACCCCAGGCCGTTTTCTCTCAGGGCAGGCTGACTAAAGGGAGGTTTGTCCTCACCACCTACCAGACCACCCCAACCCAACCCGAAGGCCTCAATTTGCCCTCCATTTCCAGTGGGGGGGGGTCGGGGAACGTTGAAAAAACACATGGAACCCGTACCCCCCCCAACGCGAAGTTCGGGTCAAATTCGGGTCTTCGGGTTGGGTTGGGGTGGTCTGGTAGGCAGTCAGGGGGGCCCTTCTCCAGCGCGGCGGCGCGCAGTGCGCCCCGCGCCTCGCGGGGCGCGGGGCGCACCGTCCGGCGGCCCAGGGGGAGCCCGGCATCGCCCGGAGCGGCCGCCCGGGGCCCGTGGCCGGAGTGCCGACCGAGGGGAGGAGGACCACCACCCACCAAACCACCCCAACCCAACCCGAAGGCTCAGATTTACCCTCGATTTCCAGTGGGGGGGGGGTCGGGAAACATGGAAAAAACACATGTGGAACCCTTACCTCCCCCCCCCCCAACCCGAAATTCGAGTCTTCGGGTTGGGTTGGGGTGGTCTGGTAGGTAGTCAGAGGACCCTGGTCGGGGGTGGACAGACCTCCTACCCTGACACGCCGATTCAGGAATGGGCCGTCTTCGGTCCGCGAGGGGGCGTCGCGGCCGTCCTTTCTGCGGGCCCAGGTCCGTCGGGTTCGGCCCCAGGCCGTTTTCACTAAGGGGAGGTCTACTAAAGGGAGGTTTGTCCACCGCCGATTCACCCTCGGCCACGGGTCATGGGCTTCCAATACTTGGGACGTATCAGCTTGGCCGCCCAAGGGGGCTTGCGTGCGCACCGCGCGTCCTTACGATCCGGTCTCGCTGTGGGGCGAAGGGGGGCGGCCAGGCGGCCCTTGCAAGGGCCGAGGGGGGCTTCTCTGGAGGGGGCGGCCCTCTCAAGGCGGATGCCCCGCGCGCCTCCTGGTCCGGTGCTGCTGGAGGCCCCTGAGGGCTCGACGACTCTTCTCCAGTCGACTTGCGGGGATCAAGGGACATCGAGGGGAATCGAGGCAGATCCAGATACATTGGGGTGTAAGTCAAGGTAAATCGAGGTAAATCCAGAGATGTCCAGGTAAGCCTGGGGCAGCTCGCGGGCTCTTCCACGGGGGCCCAGGTGGTCTCCCAGAGCAGCTCCCATCGCGCGGCCCAGTGGGCCCTGCCAAGGGCTCCGCGGCGCCGCGAGAAGCCAAGGGCGCCCTGGGCGAGGACCGCGTCTGGCAGCCTCTGGCCATGGGGAGGAGAAGGAGGAGGAAGAGGAGGAGGAGGCGGAGGAGGAGGTGAGGAGGAGGAGGAGGAGGAGGAGGAGGTGGCGGGAGGAGGAGGAGGTGAGGAGGAGGAGAGAAGGAGGAGGAGGAGGAGCAGGAGGAGAGGAGGGGAGAGGAGGAGGAGGAGGAGGAGGAGCAGGAGGAGCAGGAGGAGCAGAGGAGCAGGAGGAGCAGGAGGAGCAGTAGGTGTAGCAGGAGGAGCAGGAGGAGCAGGAGGAGGAGGCGGAGATAAGAGAAGGAGGAGGAGGAGGTGAGGGGGGAGGAGGGGTGGGAGGGAGGAGAGGGAGGGAGGAGGGAGGCAGGGAGGAGGAGGAGGTGGAGGAGGAGGAGGAGAGGAGGAGGATGGCGGAAGGAGGAGGAGGGGAGGAGGAGGAGGAGGAGGAGGAGGAGGAGGAGGAGGGGCACACGTAGGGCCGCCTCCTGGCCCCCCCTGCCTGGCTTTGCGCTTCGGCATCAGGGGGCCGGCAGCTGGATGCCCAGCAACTGGATACAGATCTTCGAGGAGTTCTTCGGGCGGGACGTGGCCGTGCGCCTGCGCATGTTGGGCGAGAAGGATCGGCCAGGGTCGGAACGGGCAGGCCTCGGGGGCCGCGGGGTTCTCCGCAGTCGTGCCTCGTCCCCTTCTCCTCCTCTTTCCCTCGCGCCTCCCTCTCCTCTCCTTGCCGTCCGCCCCCCACGGCACGCGTCTGGGGCCAACACTTTGGACGCCCGCAGGACACCACCGTTCTCTGGCGTCAGTTTCGGATGCACGGTTTGTGGTTTCAGCTCTGTGCGCTTTAAGAGTGTGTAAGAGCATTTCCAGGACGGCTCCTAGAACCACACGAGAAGGGTGTTTGAAGCTCGGGCTCTAATGCCTTATTTCGCTATGGCATATGGTCGGACTGGGGTATAAGATCGGGGTCGGTTCGGGGAGGGTGCCCTAATGTTTTTTTGTGCTGGTTGGCTGTTTTTGAGGGCACCCTGGAATGTTCTTCAGTTTGGCCGGCGGAGGGTCTCATGCTGTTGACGGATGTCTTTCTGTCCAAGGTCCAGCCGTCTTTTGTTCGGGGAAGCATAGCCTGGGGAGGGGCTCCAATCCTCCTGCGCGTCCTCGCCCCTGTCGTCTTCCTCCTCGTCCTCCTCCACTGCCCGTCCTACAGCACCCCCGTTTCCTCGTCCCCCTCCTCACCCTCATCCGCCCTTTCCCCTCCTTTTCCTCATGTTCCTCCTGCTCCTCCTCCTCCTGCTCCTCCGCCTCCTTCTCCTGCCCTGCTGCTCCTCCTCCTCCTCCTCCTGTTCCTCCTCCTCCTGCTCCTCCTCCTCCTCCTCCTCCTCCTCCTCCTCCTCCTCCTCCTCCTCCTCCCCCATTTGGTGGTTCCCTGCGCGGCCCCCCCTGCGCCCCCCCGCAGCCGTTTGCCCGCGGGGGGCGCGGGGGCCCGCCATAGGGAGCCCCCAGCCCCAGGCGCTGCCGCCTAGCGCGACGCAGCCGCAGCAGGCCAGCGCCTGCCGCGCGGCTGCCGCCCTGGCCCCGCCCGCGAGGGAGGTGGGCCCTCGGCTGGAGTGGGGCCTTCCGCGTCGGCGGTCAAGGACACGCTCGCCAGCCTGGCACAGGCGACTGCGCAGGCATCGTGCTCTCGCGCGTCGCAGGCTGCGGTTCGGTTCGGGCTTCGACCTGCTCTCGGGCCACCACGGCTCCCGCCCGCCGATGGGCAGGGGTGGCCGCAGCAGAGGCCCGCCGCCCGATGGCGCGAGCTCTGGTGAGGGCCGTGGCCGTGGCCGCGATCGCGATCGCTGGGCCTGCACTGCCACAAGACATTGCGGTTCCACGAGAAACTCCAGCACCAATGCGAGGTGCTACATGCGCGGGCGGGATCGACCGGGCCGACTTGGTCCCTCTGGCGAGCCGCCTCGCAGCCGGGCCCGCAGCGCCTCGGCGGGGCCCGCCAGACGCAGCGCTGGGCCTGATGTCGCCGCAGGCGCTGCTGCCGCTGGGGACGGCGACGAGGCCGCACGTGCCCGCAGGGCTGTCGCCGCCCTGCGGCGTCTGCAGCTCGGGGAGGGCAGCGATCTCCCCCTCGAGTGCACGCCGTGAGCTCGCCGCTGCCGAAGAGCGAGAGCGGGCAGGGCGCACGCCCGACGACGTGCTGCATCGGGCTCTGGACCGCCAGTCTTCTGAGCAGCATATCTCTGATGTTCACAGTTTCGGGCCATCCGGCCTGGGCATGCCATCCGGACATGCGGACGCATCCAGGACTTTTCCTCCTCCCGCTTTTCCTCCTTGCGTCCTCTTCCTTCTCCGTTCCAGCCTGTACGTGCATGGTGGAGTCCCCTTCCCATCAGTTGGGAAGCCGGCAATTTTCATCATCGCGGGCATCCTCCGAGAAAAAAGTCTTCGAAGCAGCGCGAGTTCGATGCCGCGAAGGTGGTCGTGGACCAGCTCGTGAAGGACTTCGGCGCGAAGGAAGCTGAGCTGGAGACGCCCCAGAGAGAACTTGGCGCAGTTCACCTGGAGGTCGCAGCCGCCCGAGCGGCCGCCCTCGCGGCGGGCGCCCAAGGCACAGGGCCTGAAGGGAGGGCTGCAGTGGGCCATGGGGAGGCGTCAAGGCGTGGTCGCTGCGGCGCCTGCTGCGGTCAGCGCAGGCAGCGCCGCCGCCGTGCTTCCCCTCGCTCGCGACGCACCTGGGCGACCTGCAGCGCGCCCTCGATGCCCGCGCCAGGCGCGAGGTCGCCCGGCCGCTGTCGGCCCTGCTGCTGCTGTCGCTTCTCAGGCCACTCCTCGCGATGCAGTTTTGAGATCGCGTCTGGCCGATGGTGACTCAGGTGACGATCGACTTGTAGAGCAAGAGGATGGTGGAATTAATTTCGGGTCTGATTGACGGACTGGTAATGCGATAAGCCCTGGCCGTTCCAGGCAGGCTGCTCCTGATGCTGATCCTACTAACGTGCTCTACGCTTTCGGCTCGCTGGTGGGTGTGTGGCGGCTGTCAGGCCTGGAGCGGGTCTTTTGACTTGCTCCCTCTAGCGTGCCCGCTAGGCGCCCATGGGAGCGCGGCGGTCGCCCATCAGTCCCGTATCCCCCTTGCCGACGCCATTCGATTCTCAGAATTCGGAGAGCACCCTGGAGTAGCCCCTTATCCAGGTGAATGGCTGGGAGACAGGGGCCTAGGACCTTATGCCCTTACACTCAGGGCAGGCACGGCCCTCCCAGGGAGATGGGGCCGTATGGGACTGGATGCCCATTCGTGCCGATGTTCAGGCACGGGCACCCGCCCCTGGTGCCTAAAGCAAGGGTGGTAGTGCCGGTAAACGTGCATCCGCAGACTCTGCGTGTTTATTTTCGTCGCGGGGCAGTCGCCACGAGGACACAGCCCGGCGGCAAGGCCAGCGATCTTGCACACTCGCATCTCCCTGTTTCTCACATTTCGTTTCTTGTGGACGCTGCCTGATGGCAATGCCAGTTTGCGAGCATTCGCTGATTCTGTGCGCCTACCCCCCGTCGCGAGGCAGATGCCTCAAAGACGCTACTCGGCGAAATCGCAGGCGGTCCTGCACGCACTCACGTCGAGCCGCTACCAGCAGACTTTGCCCGCCCGCGCCCGTCGCGAGGCTGTTGCCTCAATGACGCAGCCTGGAGGCCAGGTCGGCGGCCCTGCACTCTTTCACGTCGAACCGCTACGAGGAAGAAGCCGAAGCCCCAACCGCCTCCGCGGCGTTATGATCCCGGAGAGGTCGTGCACTCCCGCCCCCCAACGCAACAGGCTGCTCAGAGGATGGCCGTCCCGAGCACAACGAAGAAAATCCAGCGACGGTATCCATCGACCGTACCTCTGCAGGAATGCAGCTGGGGGCACCCCTTAATTATGGAGTCGGGGTCAGCCTCATCCATTGCCGACACTTGCCAATACAAGTTTAGAAACACAAGAACCATAACCCAGCACGACAAGGATTGGGAGGATCAGTTTGCCGACGAGCGGCCACGAGGAGGCCTGTGCACCTGCTCGTCTTCCTCCCCCTCGTCTCCTTCCCCGCCCATCATGATCATCATCACCACCATGATCATCATCAGCATCAGCCTCACCACCAACATCACCACCACCACCACCATTACCATCACCACCACCATCATCATTCTCATCATGATCATCGTCGTCGTCGTCGTTATCGTCGCCATCATCATTATATATCACACATCACCATCATTGTCATCATCATCAACGTCACCACCGTCATCATTATCATCATCAGCAGCATGAACATCATCATCATCATCATCATTATCATCATCGTCATCATCATCATAATCACCATCGTCATCATCATCATCATCATCATCATCATCATCATCATCATCATCATCATCTCAGTCATCATCATCATACACCTTACCAACAAACATCATCATCAGCGTCAACATCATCACCACCATCACCATAACCATCACCATCGCCACAACCATAACCATCACCATCACCGCAACCACCATCATCATCGTCATCATCAGCATCATCATCATCATCGTCATCGTCATCAACATCGTCATCATCGTCGTCATTATCACCATCAGTACCATCATCATCGTTACACTTACCATCATCATTGTCATCATCACCATCACCATCAGCATCAACATCATCATGCCCATCTCTATCTTCATCACCACTACCAGCACCAGCACCAGCACAAGCATCACCACCACGACAATCACCATCACCGCTACCATAATAACCATGATCATATTCAGCATCATCATCATCATCGTCGTCGTCATCATCGTCATCGTCGTCGTCATCATCATTATTATCATCCTCATCATCACCAGCATCACTAGCACCAGCACCACCATCATCAGTATCATCAGTATCATCATCACCACCATCATCACCATCTTCATCACCATGATCATCATCATCATCATCATCATCATCATCATCATCATCATCATCATCTTCATCAACATCAGCATCAGCATCATCATCTGCATCATGAGCACCGTCGTTTTCATCGTCATCGTCATGGTCATCATCGTCATCATCATCAACATCACTTGAACCATCACCACCAGCACCACCACCATCAGCATCAGCATCATCATTGCCATCATCATCATCAGCAGCAGCATCATCATCATACTCATACTCATACTCATACTCATAGTCATACTCATACTCATATTCATCAGCAGCATCATCATCTGCATCACCATCAGCAACAACATCATCACCATCAGTACCGTCTTCACCACCAGCAGCACCAGCAGCATCGCCGTCATCGCCATCTTCATATTCGTTTTCATCACCATCATCATCAGCAGCAGCAGCAGCACCAGTAGCATAAGCATGAGCATCACCATCAGTATCGCCACCATCACCAGCATGAGTTCTTCTGCTTCCCATCGTCATCTGGTCCCGGCCACTATCCGTCAGATCGAAAGAAGTCCCATGACCTCCAGTGCGATTCTTGGTTCGAGCCTCCATCCTCCTCCTCATTGCCCGCCCCTGGCCCAGAGGAGCATGTTTTGATCAGAATTTCGAGGGCAATCCAGCTGCGGCCACGAGGGAGTCCCCAGAAGGCCCTTCAGAGAGAAACAAACACTGCCAGAACCCTCCCCTTCTTCGATCTTCCTCCTCCTCCTCTTCCCTGCCCTTACTCCTTGTCCCTGTCCTCCCCCTCCCCTCCTCACCTCCTCCATCTTCCACTCCCCCTCCGCCCCATTTTACTTATGAGGAACATCGCTCCCGCCCCCCGCGTTTGTCCGGGACCACTCCAGGGCGTCGCCTCGAGCCGTTTCTCGTTCGGCAGGTCGCATCCAGCCGTGGTGAGGAGGCGGGGTGTCCGAGGGCCCAGTGGGGGACGAGGAGGAGGACGAGAAGGAGGAGGAGACAGAGTAAACTTATATTAGGATGATGAAGAAGAAAATCAATAATAACACACTAATTACAAATGCTGCGAACAATACTAAGAATTATATTACGAACGATACCAAGAACAATCCTATCAACGATAGCAGCGACAATAGCAATAATACCAATAATATGAATCAGCCAACTAATGAGACTCAGATTTCTACCACTACTACTACTACTACTACTACTACTACTACTACTACTACTACTACTACTACTACTACTACTACTACTACTACTACTACTACTACTACTTCTACTACTACTACTACTACTACTACTACTACTACTACTACTACTACTACGCTACTACTACTACTACTACTACTACTACTACTACTACTACTTCTACTACTACTACTACTACTACTACTACTACTACTACACTACTACCTGCTACTACTACTACTACTACTACTACTACTTGCTACCCACTATTACTCATACTTACTGCTGCTCCGCTACTGCTACTGCTACTGCTACTGCTACTGCTGCTGCTGCTGCCATACTACTACACTACTACTACTACTACTACTACTACTACCACTACTACTACTACTACTACTACTACTACTACTATTATTACTACTATTACTACTACTACTACTTACTACCTACTACCTACTACCTACTACCTACTACCTACCACCTGCCGCCTACTACCTACTGCCTACTCTACTACCTACTGCCTACTACCTACTACCTACTACCTACTACCTACTACCTACTACCTACTACCTACTACTGCTACTGCTACTACTACTACTACTACTACTACCACCACTACTACTACTACTACTACTACTACTACTACTACTACTACTACTACTACTACTACTAATACTACTACTTCTACTACTACTACTAATACTACTAATTCTTCTTCTTCTTCTACTACTACCACTACTACTACTACTACTACTACTACTACTACTACTACTACTACTACTACTACTACTACTACTACTACTACTACTACTAACAGTCGTACTGAGAAGAAATGAACTCATCAAAACAATAAGAATAATACGATGAATAAGAAGAGGACTACAAGGATTACAGCCATCGCAGGTTCGATACCATGTGGAGCCAGCGACGCCCCCTCTCACCTTGAAGACGCACAGAAGGACAAGGTAGCCGAAACGCCCGAACAAGAGGAACAACTTCACGAACACTGCATGCCACCACTGTGAAAACCGAAGCCCCCACTGAAAGCCATGCGATCCGCCGCCGCACGATAGGAATGTGACATGTCACAACCAGCCATCTTGCAAAATGAAACTTAAGAAAGGCATTCACCTTGTTGGCTAAACGGATATTCGACCTCATGTCCTTCGGCACTTTCCGCACGAGCATTGACCACCTGCACGTGTGGATGACTTGACAAACATGAAGTAAAAGCACTCGGAGGAGGCGGAGGAGGAGGAGGAGGTGGCGGCGGCGGAGGTGGAGGCGAAGGCGGCGGCGGTGGCACGGGAGCGTTGATGGGCCGAGTCGAGCAGAATTCCGATTGTCAGCACGCTGAGGAGGACGAGGAGGAGGAGGAGGAGGAGGAGGAGGAAGACGAAGAAGACGAAGAAGAAGAAAAAGGAGAAGAAGACGAGCCGCCCTTGAACAGCGCGAACGGATGGAGAGTCTCGCCCAGGGCCACCCAGAAGCCTCGGATAACCATCCAGACCCATTGGATCCTTCCGAAAGGATCCATCCCACTTCGGCCTCCTCCCGTCTCCCACCTCGTCCAGACTCATCCCTATATCATCGCCTCCCACCTCCGAAAACCTCCGTCCCTCCTCCTTAGAGAATGAGGCGGGGAGCGAGGAGGAGGGGGAGGAGGAGGAGGAGGAGGAGGAGGAGGAGGAGGAACAGGAAGAGGAGTAGGACCAGCGTCAATCCAATAAACACTAACGATGTTGCAGTAGACCCACCCCCCAAGGTCCCTCTTCGCAGGTCGCGACAGAGATTTATGTTCATTGCGGAACTGGCCCATGAGAAGACGACCGTTTGAAATTCTTCAATCGTGCCAAAACATTTTTCTTGGGACTTCAGCGCCGCGAATCAATGTGACAGCTGCGTCCTGACAATCCTTATTCGCGTCAGGGTACAATTCCCAGAATTCCAACACCGCAAATCAACAGGATTGTTGCGTCCTGACATCCGTAAACCGTGCCAGAACACCGTTCCTGGATTTAAACCAGACGATTCCACGATTCCGTTGCGAACTTTTGAGGTGAATGTGCGCGGCGCTGAGGCGAGGGCCTTCATCCGGGATTTCGCTTGCACACGTTAAAGACGAAAGGTGTGCGCGGCGCTCAGGCGAGAGCCACATCTTGAAAACGACCCGCCCTTCATCCGTGACACTGTCTGCAATGTTTTAAGACGGATGTGCGCGGCGCCAAGGCGAGATCCACATGTTGATTATCCCAGTGCGACCCTACCTAGTAGTTGGAGCCCCTAGGAAAACAGCATTAGTAGTAACAGTAAAGCTAAGCTAAAGCTACGCTAAAGCTAGGCTAGAGCTAAGCTAAAGCTAAGCTAAGGCTAAGCTAGAGCTAAGCTAAATCTAAGCTAAAGCTAAGCTAGAGCGAAACTAAAGCGAAGCTACAGCGAAGCTAAAGCTAAGCTGAAGCTAAACTGAAGCTAAGCTAAAGTTAAGCTGAAGATAAGCTAAGTCAAAGCTAAATCTAAGCTAAAGCTAAGCTAGAGCTAAACTAAATCTAAGCTGAAGCTAAGCTGAAGCTAAGCTGAAGCTAAGCTAAAGCTAAGCTAAACCTAAGCTAAAGCTAAGCTACAGCTAAGCTAAAGCTAAGCTGAAGCTAAGCTAAAGCTAAGCTAAACCTAAGCTAAAGCTAAGCTAAAGCTAAGCTAAAGCTAAGCTAAAGCTAAGCTACAGCTAAGCTGAAGCTAAGCTGAAACTAAGCTAAAGCTAAGCTAAAGCTAAGCTGAAGCTAAGCTAAAGCAAAAGCTAAAGCTAAAGCCAAAGCTCCCAAGGGACTGGGGGAACCGCGGGGCGGGGACTGGGGGAACCGCCCGGGGCGCTGTGCACTGCCCGGCCCCTTTATAAGCTAAGAGGGTAAGAACCCTCTAGGCAGAGCCTAGGTAGGGAGAAATGCATCGCAACTGATGAAAATTGTTCAGACGAATGTGCGCGGCGGTAAGGCGAGAGCCACAGTTTGAAAAGGACCACCACTCCATCTTTCAAGCTGTTGCACACTTTCCAGACGAATATGCGCGGCGCTACGGCGAAAGTCAAAGTTCGAACACGACCTGCCTTCCATCCGTGAAACTGTTGCACCTGTCAAGCTAAAGGATTATCGTGGTGAGAAGATCCAAGGTGACATGCCCAGCCCGCCCTACCGATACGCCTGGGGATGCGACACGGACAGGCTACTTATGGGGAGAAGGGATGAAGAAGAAGAAGAAGGAGGACGAGGGTAAGGAGTAGAACCAGTGTAAACCCAAGACGCATCAAAGATGTTGCAATAGACCCTCCCCCCGAACTCGCTCTTCATAGGTACATACTGGATATTTTTCATTGCGGGAACTGCCCCGTCGGATGACAACCGTCTGAGAATTTTCAGTCATCCCTGGGATTCCAACTGCGCGAATCAACGTGACTGTCGCGTCCTGACAATCCGAAATCGTGCCAGACCACTGTCCCTGAGGCTTCAGCATCACGATTCAACGATGCGGCTGCGTCCTGTCAATCCTAAGGCATGCCCGAGCACCGTTCTTGGACTTCAACCATCCGATTCCTCGGTACCGTTGCAGATTCCTACGACGAATGTGCGCGGCGCTGAGGCGAGAGCCACATGTTGGCAACGGCCCGCCCTCCAACCCTGAAGCTGCTGCAAACTTTTAACGACGAATGCTCGCGGCGCTGCTACATTTTGAAAAGGACACGCCCTCCATCGATGACACAATTCTTACGACGACTGCGCCGCGCTCAGGCGAGAGTCACATTTTGAAAACGGGCCACCCTCCATCCTTGAAGCTGCTGCAAATTTTTAAGACGGATGTACGCGGCGCTCAGGCGAGAGCCTCCTTTTGAAAACGACCTACCCGCCCTCCATCTTTGAAACAGTTGAAAATTGTTCAGACGAATGTGCGCGGCGCCAAGGCTACAGCCGCATTTTGAAAACGACCCGCGCTCCATCCGTGAAGTTACAATAACAGGCTTCAGGAGCGTAGAAAATAAAGAAACTCAGGCGGCTCGCCCGGCCCGACCCACCGACACGTCTGGGGGCACGACAGGGAGGATGTATTTATAAGGATACGGGATGGAGGGGTTATGCAACGGGAGAAGAAGAATACAAAAGAAGATGATGAGAATAAGGATGAGGAGTGAGGAGCGAGGAGGGAGGATGGAGAAGGGAGGGGCCAGGGAGAGGGAGGAGGCAGGGAGGGATGGGGGAGGGAGGGAGGCAGGGACGTAGAGGACAGAAGAAGGAGGAGGGAGGGGGAGGGAGCAGGCAGGAGGAAGAAGGGAGGGAGGGACGGAGGAGGGAGGGAGGGATGGAGGAGGAGGAGCAGGAGGAGGAGGAGGAGAAGGAGAAGGATGAGGCAGGAGGAGGAGGAGGGAGGAGGAGGCAGGAGGAGGAGGAGGGAGGAGGAGGGGGAGGGAGGGAGGGAGGGAGGGAGGGAGGAGGATCCCCTGCAGGAGCGCGAGCGGATGGAGCGCCTGGTCCGGGACCACGCGCGGGCACAGGGGCGGTGCCAGGCCGACGGCACCGTGCTGCTGGACGAGGTGCTGTCTATTGCATCTTCGGGGGACCGACGCGGGCTCGATGCGGACTCGACGCGGATTTGGCATGGATTCGACGCGGATTCGACACGGATTCGACACGGATCCGACGCGTCCGACATGGATTCGACACGCATTCGACGCGGACAGGGCCGCGACGGGACAGACAAGGTCCCCCGAGGATGCAACATAAGGTGTTGTCCAGGCTGTACGCGCCAGTGATCGCGCCCGGCGTGCAGAGGAGGAAATCGGAGGCCTGGAGGTCGACATCAGCACCACTATCGGCGGGGTGCTTCCACCGAGGGAAGACGATCCCGATCTCGGTGATGGTGTCAATATTCGGGCTTCTAGGTGGCCGAAGCATTGCCACCAGCACCAGAAGCTGGGATCATCTTCCCCCAGTGGAGGCAACCCCCTGTGTTGGTGCTGGTGCCCATGTCCAAGCCTCCAATGAAAAGGTACCCATACCGCTACCCTTGCCTTCCCCATACCGCTACCCATAACGCTACCGCTCTTTTTGGGCCTCCTGGGAGGCCCTCGTCGCCGCCGCTGGACTCGCCTCGACGTCCTGTTCCGAGCGCACCCCGTGACAGGTCCGGGGAGTAGCGGCACGCATCGGTACCCTTCCCCAGGCGTGCGGAGCTGCAGCCCTGCAGACCTGGCCGAGGGGAGGGGGGGTCGAAGAAGAGAGCACGGCATAAGCATGAATTGTCGGCGCTCCGCGCGGAGCTCCAGAGGTGCATGCTCATCGCGTGATTGTGGTTATTCCGGGAGGGGAGATCAAGGGAGGAGTCCTCCCTCTTTGTAGCTGTTGCAAGCTTTTGGGCACGAATGCGCGCTCCTTAAAGAGCACCCGCCCTTCGTCCTTGTAGCTGCTGCAAGCTTTGAGCGCGAACCTGCGCGGCAAGAAGAAGAGAGATCCTTTTTAAAAGCGACCTGCCCTGCATACTTGTAGCTGCTGGTAACGTAAACCTTCAGGATCATAAGTTTTGATCTGCATACGGGAAGGCATGGAAGGAGAGCGGAAGAGGGGGGAGGCGGGGGGTGAGGGGAGGAGGAGGAGGAGGAGGAGGAGGAGGAGGAGGAGGAAACAAGGAGGAGGAGGAGGAGGCAAGGAGGAGGAGGAGGAGGAGGCAAGGAGGCAAGGAAAAGGCACGGATGAGGAGGAGGAGGAGGAGGAGGCAAGGAGGCAAGGAGGCAAGGAGGCAAGGAGGAGGCAAGGCGGAGGAAAGGGGGAGGCAAGGCGGAGGAAAGGAGGAGAAGGAGAAGAAGGAGGAGGAGGAGGAGGAGGAGGAGGCAAGGAGGAGGAAGAGGAGGCAAGGAAGGGAGGCGGCCTCCGAGGGGGGAGGCCGCCCTGACGCAGCGCAACATCGCCAAGTACCTGGCGCTGAAGGGCGCGGGCGGCTGAGCGCCGCCCTCGCGCGCGCGCGGTGTGACTTCGGAGGCCCTCGGAGGCGCCCTGGAGGGGCGGGGGCCACCCTCTCGCGCGGGCGCGAGCCTCCGCGGGCGCGCGGCGCGGGCGCGATCTGGGCCAGGGACTGTCGGGGTGAGGCAGCGGGTCGCCGCGCAGGTCCTTCCTCCTCCAGGAGTGGGGCGAGGAGGTGGGAGGGGGAGGGGCAGGGAAGAGAAGAGGGGCAGGGAGGAAGGGAGGGGGTCGGAGGCAGGAGGCAGGATGCACGAGGTAGGGGGTGGGACTGTGATGATGGTGATGATGGTGATGATGGTGGTGATAATGATACTAGTGGTGATGTTGATTCCGATGATGATGGCGACGCTGCTGCTGACGATAATGAGATGAGATGAGATGAGTTTAGATGAGTTGAGATGAGATGGGAGATGGGATGATGACATGGTGATGATGGCATGATGATGGTGATGATGATGGGTTTGTCTCACGTGTCATCTCAGGAGCGTTCGAGCGCCGCGAGAATGTCCATTCTCCGCAACTGTTTGGCTCAGTTCTCTCGCGAGGTCTCCGAATGCTGAGCCCCCGCGCGCTGGTCGGGCTGGGATTCGCTCACTTCGCTGGGGTGTTCCTGGCGCACTTCGCGGCGCAGCCCGCCCCCTCGGCGCCGGAGGAGGCGCCCGCGATCGGCCTCCCGCCAGCGGGGGCGGACGGCGGCGCGGCGGCGTCGCGGGACCTGCAGCAGGTGCTCGGCACGCTGCAGGAGGCGCTGGGCGACTGCCTGGCTTCGCGGGCGCCGGTGTGCCCGAGCCCCTGCCCTGAGTGCCGCTGTGAGTGCGGGGCTGGGGCTTCGGCGTCGCCGGGCTGGTGGCGCGCGGCCCTTGAGCTGGTGGTAGGGGCGGTGGTGCTCCTCGGCCTCGAGCTCTTCCGCGGCTGCCTTACCTGGGGCCGCCGGGCCTGCGCCTGCGCCGCACGGCAGGCGGCTCTGACTCCGCCAAGGCAGGGCCTTTCTGCCCCGGGCACGCCTGATCCGCGAGTGCCACGAGGAGGGGGCCACTACCGATGAATGCTGGTGATGAGATCTGGGTTGAATATGACGTTGACCCTCCGCTTCTGCATGCTCGTCTTCTGCTTCTGGGTTCTCGGCGCGTGCCAGGCGCCTTCTCCGTGCTCACTCCTGACATGGACGTGTTCGTTGAGGAGTACTCGCCTGGGAACGACGACCTCCGCGGGTACTACCTCAAGCAGCCCCGTGGCGTGGGGGCCTTGGCGGTGCCCGCCCCTGGAGGTCGAGGAGTCTATGACTTCGCCAACCTGCCGACGGCCCTCGAGATGGTTGGCATCCTCCAGGAGGCGCAGGTGGCCATGGCGAGCTTCGAGGGCGGAGACCCTCTGCGGCACGGCCAGGGCGCGGCTGGCGGCGCCGCGGGGGGCGGCGCGGGCGGCGCTGGGGCTGCCGGGCTGCTGGGAGGCGGAGTGGCGGCGGGCTTGCCTGCTGCGCTTGGGGGCGGCGGCGCGGCTGCTGGCGCGGCGCCCCTCGCGCTCGCCGGGCCTGTGGGGGCTGGCGGCGCAGGCGTCCTGGGCGGCGGAGTCGCCGCGGGCGTTGCTGCAGGTGGCGCTGCCGTGGGAGCCTTGGGCGGCGCGGGCGTTGGGCCGGCAGGCGCTGCCGCACCTGCTCCCGCCGCCGATGGGCTGGCGGGCCTTGCCGCTGCGCTTGGGGGAGCCCCTGGAGCCGCCGACGGCGGTGCTGGGGGGGCGGCGGCTGCTGACGGCAGCTCGGATGACTTGCGGACGCTTGGCGTGCGATATGATCGCCAGGGACAGCGTTACCGCGAGTTTCGGGAGGCCGTCCAGAGCAACCGATCGACCAGCTTCCCAGACTGGCCAGTGCCAGGCCCGCGGACCTTCCAGTGGGTCGCCGAGTACCAGATGGAGCACGGAGGCACGCCCATGGGACACCACGTGGCTTGGAAGGCTTCGCTGGGGGCCTCCGTGGGCGCAGATGATCCCGTGGTGCACTTGCATGCTGAGTTCAGCAAGATCATGCAGACTATGTGCACCTATGATCAACTGGATGGGGCCAACCTGGCGTGCGGCGAGCTCGTGGCACGCCAACTCCAGCTATGCGAGGAGAAGTACAAGGACAAGATTCTGGCGCATCGGGGAGGCGGTGGGCTTCACCAAGATGAGGGTTTCTTCTTCGCGGACATGGGGTCGACGCGGGGCATCATGGTCAGCCCGGAGCTCACCAAGTGGGTGGCGGACCGCCTGCAGGCCGAGAGCAGCATCGCGAAGGAGCGCCGCAAGGCGCGTGAGGAGCGGCAACTGGCAGCACCCAGCGGTGGCGGAGGCGGCGGCGGCAGCAGTGGCTCTGGCGCCGGCGGCGCCAAGAAGGGGAAATCGTGACGAGAACGGGGCGACCTCCCGCCCCGCCGGCGAAGGACTTCGGCCGACCTCCGCGGGCTCCTCTAGGCCCAGGCATCGCGCTCCTCTGGCCCCATGGGCCCCAGTCGTCAGCGAGATGTGTTTCCTCTCCCTCAATTTCGCGAGCTACCCGCCCGAGCAGAGGCTTGCCGCGCTGTCGGGCGCCGACGGGACAAGCTATCGCACTCGCTGCGGTGGGCTAACCTCGGCATTGGGTCGCTCAACGAGCTGGCAGGGCGCGGCGTCGACTGTCCCCGTCAGCCCACAGTTTTGCAGCACATGGCGCTCGAGCACATCCGGGAGGAGTGCGTCACTTTCCCTGGTCCGCCCGAGGACGTGCGCCCCCGCGGGAGCCTTCGCGAGCTCTGCGGTGCCTGCCCCATGTACGGCTTGGAGCGGGCGGATTTGGCATCCTACAGCGAGGACAAAGTTTCCTGGCCAGCCGAGGGGACCGCTCCGGTGTCTCTGGAGTCAGCCCTGCAGCCGGCCGACGCGGTGTGGCTGTCGGATTGGGAGGCCAACATGCTCCGAAGCCCGGAGGAGGCGGTTCGACTCCGCGCTGAATCGGGGCTACGTGCTCCTTATTCTGATCCTGGGTTGCGAGACCCAAAAGTGTATGGACGATTTCTCGGGCAGCTTCAACGGCGAGGCATGCTCCAGTTTTGCCGATGGGACGGGAAGGCTCCAACGTTGGGGGCCTTCACGGTCCGCAAGAAGGGTGACCGCCAGAGGCTCATCTTCGACACCAGGCTGGTCAACCTGCACTTCCGTCGGGCTCCCGCCACCGAGCTTCCTTCGGCCGCTTCCTTCTCTCGCCTGGAGAGCGATGCGGCCGCGCCGCTGTACTTTGCCTGTGGGGATATCGAGAACGCCTTCTACGCGATGCGTATCCCCAGCGGCCTCTGCTCGTACTTCCAGCTCGCACGGGTCCGCGCAGGCCTGGTGGGGGTCGCCTCGCTTGACGGTGAGGCTGTTGACAGTGGTGAGTGGCTCACTCCTCAGCTCACCATCCTGCCCATGGGGTGGAGCTGGGCCGTGCATCTGTGTCAGATGGTTACCGAGTCCGCCCTGGTTCGAGCAGGAGTGCCTGTATCGCGGCACGTTCGGGACCGCAGCGAGGGACTCCCTCTGGGCAAGCATGATGGGCTGGGGGCCGCCGCCTATGTCGACAACTACTTGGTGGTGGGCGCCAGCCAACGAGAGGTCGACGCCATCGCCTCCAAGGTTGAGGCGGAGCTGGTCAGCCTCGGATTCTCGGTGCACGAGCAACAGCGGGCCAGCCGCAGTTGTTCCTTCGTGGGTTTGGAGCTCTGCGGGATGTCGCACTGCGTCCGCGTCTCGCCCAAGCGACTGTGGCGGGTGCGGCGCGCGATTGAGGAGTTGCTGGCTCGCCGATCCGCACGGGGTGAGACCGTGGAGGTTTTGCTTGGGCACTGCACCTGGATCATGCTGCTGCGGCGGCCGTCGCTTGCCATCCTGGACGCGACCTACCGCTTTTGCCAGGCGGCGCGGGACGAGGCCTTGCCCCTCTGGGCTACGGTGCGCTGGGAGCTCCGCACGCTTCGGAACCTGCTGCCGTTGCTCTCTGCGCATCTGGCGGCCCCGTGGCATGCAGAGGTCTCTGCCTCCGACGCCTCACCGTGGGGGGGCGGGGTCTGCGTTCGGCAGACCAGCCCGGAAGCCGCGGCCTCGCTGGGGCGGACGGTGGAGCGCTGGCGCCACCACTTTGACGACGCCATCTCCGCCCGCTCGCATGCTCTGGAGGGTGACGGGGTGGCCACCTCGCTGCGACGCCCCGCTGCGCTGCCCAGCGAGGCGGCCAAGGACCTGGACAAGCAGTTCGGCGAGATCCCTGCCTCTTTTATGCAGGACCCTTGCTGGAAGATCGCGATGTTCTTTCCGTGGCGTGAGAAGCACGACATCTACTACACCGAGGGCCTCGCCCTCTCAGCTTCTCTGCGCCATGCCTTGCGATCGCGCGGGGCGTTTGGGCATCGCCTGGTGCTCCTGGTGGACAACCTGTCTCTGGCTTTGGCTGCTGGGAAGGGGCGGGGCGCGGCTGCGCAGCTTCGCA